CTCTAAAATCTCGTTTTCTAACTTTCAAGAAAATATTAGTTCGGATATAGTCGTCAATCACATTATACAAATGTCATGATGTGATCCATACATTATTCGGCGCTAATATATTCTCTAACGTTCAAGCTTCTCAGGAATATAAATCATGCAATTATATTAATAAATAGACTTAAAAGCAATTTTTCATTTGTTTTCTTTCATAAGAAAATAGTTTAGCAGAATAAAAATAAAAATAAAAATAAACATTCCGAGAATTTCGAATGCAAGCGATAGAGCATTACTGTTTTCTTCAACATAGAAGAACAGTTCGGAAACAATCCTAATTGCTTTATATATTGATCCACAGAAAAGGGGGCCGAGATATGATTACCGGGCGGTGACAAGAACTCCTCCGTGGCGAAAATTTACTCCGGAACCCTGTACGTCTCCGGCGTGATCTCCGACAACAACAATCCCGGAAAAATCGCCTGCAACGGAAATAGAAACCCTAGAAGTTAAGCTGAGAGCTGAGAGCTGAGAGCGAAGGGAAAGGAGAAGGTGGAAGAGATCAAGATATTACGTCGAGCTGCCGCTGAGCAACCCTCGGCCGTTTCTTTGGCCGGCGGCGAGGCCGAGATCCAGTTAGGGCAAATACATCCTCTTCAATCTCCTCTTTCGAAAGCGAGATGGAGAACTTGTGCTTCTCCTTCTTCCCACTCGCCACCGTTCTCAGTCGGATGTTCGGAACCCTCCTCGTTCTTAGAGTCCACGGGATCGCCGTCTCAAAAGCGGAGGACGACGGCCCCTGCTCCATCGCCGTTGCGCCGGCCGGTTTGATCGGAGGAATATCAAGTTTCATTCTGTCGGCGGCCTCCCGAAGGTGTCCCATCAGCTTTTCCCTGAGCTCCTCCAACCCACAATCGTCTTCGATGTAGTCAACCTTCGGAGCTCCAATCCGAGGGAGTCGCTGGGTAAAAACCCTCACCGGCGACGGCGCCGGAAAGGCCGATCTGTATTCTCCGGCAACTCCCTCTTCTTTCCCCTCCACGCCATCGTACCGGATAAATCTCTGGTTTCCCCATGTCTTCAAAACCGGCGATGAGAAATCGCCATGAAGAAGGTTAGATTGGGACTTACCTCGCTGAGTTGCAGTAGCCGCCATGACGAGAAGGGAATCAAAGAAGCAACCATGCGCAGGGTAAAGTAACCTAACCGATCTGAATCACACGGCGGAAGTTGATTGGCGAAGGCCGCTGAGTCGCTCGGGTTTTGAGGAGCCGGCGGCTAGAGAGAATGCCGGTGAAACTCTTCGCAATGATAATAAAAGAAGAATAATGAGTATATATATTGTTCATGGGTGGGGGAGGATGAGGGTATTTTGGGAATTACGATAAAACTGGGATGCGCGCGTCGGGCCTTTATATGACGTGCCGGCTGACGAGGCGCGACGGAGAATGGATGGTTGGAGGGAAATTTTTGGCCGCCGCGGCCCAACCGCACCCTGTGATTGTGAGGAAAATTTGATGGTAGTATGAGGTGTGGGTGTAGCTTTGGGTGAAAAGATCGGTTTGTTTAGGGTCATTTTGAATGTGCTGGCGCTGCGCACGTGTCGTGCGCTTGACGGGAATTTTAGGGTTTGTAACTGTCGTCTGTAAATACTGCGGTTATTTCTCATTACATTATATCAGAGTGTATTTTTATAATCTAATCCTAGTTAAACACGAAAATGAATTGATATTATTTTATTGAGTTATCATTTTAAATGGTGATATAACTAAGTAATTAAAAAATATATTTAAATAAATAAGCTTTCAAAATAAGAAGACTTAGATACATACCACTCAAATTTTATGTGTTTATATATGACACAATATTTACATAAATGACATCTTATGTTTTACATGAAAAATGCATTTATTTTTTTAAAAAAA